TGGGGTGTGGACAGTAGTTGTGCTTTTGTAACGTTGAGGTATGGACAGCTACACACTGAGGCTTTGAGCGTGACATACATACAACGGAAGTAAATAACCCTTCAGTCAGGACGGTGATATTAGCAATATTCCCTATTAATCCTTTCAGTCAAGCCTGTAAGTTACTGATAAACGCACGATTTAAATGATCAAATATGTCATTTGGGCAGTCTGGGTAATTCTTTTTTATATTTTTATTTATTGTCCAGAACATTCCATAATTTCTTCTAAAAATTTAGAAATAACCTCTATTCACAAGAAATCATTTACTGGGTATTAATCATTAATACTGGATAGTTTCAAGAATGTTACTTGTTTACTCAGGAGCCAATCATTTATTGTGTTGTGGCCGTCAGAGCTGTCCAGCCACTCTTTCTCTCTCTGTGGATTCCTTGGCAGCATGGCTGCTTACTCACTCAGCTAGCTCTCTGGCTGGCACACCTTTCAACCACTTGCAATATTTAAACAGCGGCTCCACTTCTCTCCAGGTCTTTATATTTGCTGTTGCTGTACACAGCACTGTCTCACATCTTCTGTTACCTCTCCTTGTGTTATCTAGTCTGTTAATCAGTTATTTCTGTGCTTTACAAACCTGAACTATGAGGCTGAATTTGAGGCTTAGTGAGGTAACTTCAGGTCTAGAAGAGTGTGATGCCGAGTTAAATTTATGAATTAGTGAGCTACGTCAAGCATATAGTACAAGTTTTCATTGTTTATGTTTAAATCACTATATGTTGAATGCATATACTAATATGTGGAAGGTTATGTTCATTGAAGCGATCAACAAATATATAGGCCACTGCCTAATCATTTCTTTAGAAAATAGCTTCCCTGTTCAATGCACAGATAGTAGCATCACCTACCATCAAGAGATCAGCAGGAAAAATGGGCCAGATTTACTAATGAAAATGGATTAGCATGAATAGTGTTCTAGAGTCAGTTGAAACTCTAGCATTAAATGTAGCTGGTTGAGTCCTGTTAGAGAATTAGGATCACAGGTATCTGTTGAATTGCTTCTTCATCGAAATGAAGCAGCAGGATGTACATGCAGAACTGCAAGTAGGATATACATACGTGTGGCCTGTGAACAGAGAAAACTGTAGCATGTGCTAGTTAAGCACTGCCCTCCAGAAATCATGAAATAGTCAGAGAAAATAACCAAATAAATAATATTAAAAGGCTCAAATACTTGTTTCAAATGGAAATAATTTATAACTTTTTCTAAATGCATTTTTCTGGATTTTTTTGGTTATTGTTCTGTCTCTCACTGTTCAAATAAACCTGCCAACACGTGTCTACCTACTTGGGTGTAGACACGTGTTGGTAGATCAGTGGCTGCTAAATCATCCAGGGGAAGACAAACTACTCTTCTAACTGCAAGGCCTGCAACAGCAACTGCAACCCGGACGATCTGATATCCTCGTGTTGGCGTTGTTTCCACATCATCATAATTAATGTTGTTCCAGGTTCAACATTGCAAGTGACCAATCACCTTCTTGTGACGTCATACTTCTGCGACTTTGAAATACCCGCCTCAAAACAAATTTTCTTCACTTGTGCCCGCCTCTGTCTGTCAATCCAGCGTGCCCGCTTCACTTGCGAGAAACCTCCGCCTGTCCGCCGAAATTGAAGTCCTTTTAGGATACTTTTCTTTAATAAACGGTAAACATTATACATATGTTCCTCACTTGGCTTGCTGTTTGTTTGCTAGTGATAGGCTACTTGACGACAGCATTAGCTAACCAGTGTTCTCTAGACCAGCGTTCCCCAACTTTTTTGGTGTTTCGTGGCCCGGGGGTTGGGTCAGGCAAAATTGCAGTAGCTTCCCTGATCATTTT